CCCCACATACTATCGGACAAAACTTGCGTTCACTTCCAAGGCGCTGGACATGCCATTGATTATTCCACAAGAGACATGAATACGAACCACTAGCAGACAATACCCTCCGAGAATTGGGCCCGCTCATGTAACAACCCCTAAATTATTTTTTAATTATGATTTATAAATAGGAAATTAATGTGAAATTTTTTTTTGACCTCAACTGCATAAAGTATTTTTATAAATAATTTTAAGCTATATCAAACAGACCTAAGCGGCAGGCCTATAGCATTACATAATCATCATTTATCAGTGCTAAAATTAAATTTATTTTGATATTCAATAAAAAAATTATTTTGACATTCAATATTCAATAAATATCATATAATCAAGATGCTCTTGGCGAGCAGAACGGTGAGACTGATTTTATACATGGCCGTGAAAAATTATAATTGCAAACTCCAAATTAAATATATTTATAATTACAACCATCGCTTTCATAAGTATTTATACTTGAGTTATTTAAAATTTCAAGTTACAATTTTAAGGCTTTAAAACATGAAACAGAATCCATCACGCAAGCTAACAGGATTTTTTTAAACCATCTTCCTCCATCGACCATCATCAGCTTGAGTGACGAGCCCGATTCGTCAACATTCCAGGAGCAAAAGAAACAGAAACGAAAATATACTGAAGCACCCACGAGACACAATGACAAATTTATTGCAAAGATCCTCTTGGCAACAACCATATAGTTCTATCACATGAAAAGAAAATAACCATCCGAGAAGGTTCAAAAACAACAAAGAAGATTATATAAAGTTTTCGGATTTATCATCAACTGCTGCTATGAGTGTAATACGCAGGCTATATAACATGAAACTGAATTATCCGCTGCTTCTTAGGGCCTAGAAACCATGAATCTTGATCTGCTCCTTCTTTGCTATTCCAGCCTGTTTTGTCAAAGTACAGAAGAATTCATGGAATTATAACTCCGCCTATGGTGTTCTTACCGTTTAAAAAAAATGCCATGAGCATACTTATCTACCTGCACAAGGAATGTGGAAGCGTTCTTTCTTTGATCTCCCTGAAGTTGTATGACCTGCATCCATAGAGATAAGGCTTAGGCTTGCTGGCTGCTCTCATTGACAAGGAGAGACTTAATCCGGCAACCAATAACACTACTCACAATAATGAAACGATAATTCCTATGTGCTGGACTAAAATGAAACAACGCTTCTTGAGGATGAAGGATATCTCGTTTATTTCCTTAACTTGAGAATTATAGTTAATAGGGAGATCAAGTGGATCAAGACTTAAATAAATCTCCTTTACGTGTTCGCTATCATGTAACTCAATAAAAACACAACATACGCACATCTTTTCCTACCTATCAGTAGACCATTGACCTCGGTTACAAGCTTTTGCCACAAGGTAATTGTCCATATCCATAGCTCATCGGTTTGATCTATGGAGTGTAAACTAGGAAATCAACGAAGAAAAGGAGAGACTGGGGGCAATACTGCTTGTTCAAAATTTTATCCAGTGAGTCATGGCCGTAAGAAAGAAGTGGCATATGAGTAGGGATTAGGTGTACCTAGGGCTAAGGGAATGAAATTGTGACTGTGTTTTAAATCCTCCACTTTGGACACAGTGATGATGTTTAATCTTTTGGTTAGTAAAGTGAGTTTGGGAGAGTAGTGGCCTCTCGAAGGTCCAGTAGCTTATGTTCTTTGTTCCTGCTCTGTGGTGTGTATTTTGTGTCGTTCTGTAACTGTTTTTTATTGTAATTTCTGTACATGGGTGTATGAGGCAGATGGGATTGGCTTGAATCATTATTTCCCTTGTAATCCACTTTATTATTCAGTAATGGTATTAGCATTGTTCATAGTCCATTTCTGATTTTTGTTTTAAGATTATTAGGGTAGAGGGTTCGATAACATTACTTAGCAAGTGAGAAGAACAAACCTGGCCCAGCTCGGGGTCTTGGACAACAGTACCATTACAGCAGAACTCTTTCTTCAGGTCCTTCAGTATCTTGCTATAGCTGTACTCCTTCTTCAGCCCTTGAACAGTTGTCAGGCTTTTCCTTCCATTGCGTTGCTGCACACGCACATGAATATACTCCTTTGTCCCAGCACCGGAGTCCTCAGCATTTGCATCAGCAAAGGGATCTGCCCAATAATCCATTCATGTCAGCAATTGAATTGAAATGTTTAAATTGTCAGATATCGTAGATATGTTCAAATTCAAGACGGATTAAAAGCTTACCATAAGCAGTTGGAGTCTGTTCATCGAATTCAGACATGAACTTTGCCCTTGGTAGGTTCTCGCCAACGGACTTCTGATTATGATAAACCACTAAAAAGTAAGGACTGCAAGTGGTCAGGGAAAGCACAGAAAAAATAAACAACTAACATATATTTGCAGATACTGTTACTATTCAAGCTTGCTACTTGCTAGTTGCTACTAGTTCTCAATATGCAGAAGCATCAACAGGTCCCCAATAACAAAGGAGAACTCTAAAAATAGTCAAATACACATAACCCTGGCATACTGATGTAAGACAGTAGAAGGGCAAGGGGTGGAGCAAGAGGAAGAGGGAGTGAAGAGGTAGGCAGGAGTCCGTGGTTTTATTCTTTGTTTGCCATCAACCCAATTTACACTTAGGGCCCGGAATATGTGGGAACGAATTAGGTATAAACGAATAGACTCTATGGACAATTTTCTTCTTCATCTCATCTTCTTTCACACTTCAAAAAACCATTGTCACTACCAACACAATATCAGAGAATCAATTTATTTCATGCCAAATCAAAAACCCCTATTGTCATTAGGGAAGTTGCATTGCATAACCTCAGTCTCGGCCATATTCTTTCCAATCATCCACTTGTAAACTACAAATATAACCAATACACCCATCCTCCCATGGATATTATGTATAATCGTGTCTACCATGGGGAATGATAATCCCATCTATTGAATAATCACAATATTCCAGAAAGTATTAACCAACACACGATGTTATATGTTTCAAATTGTTCATGTTTATCAGAAGAATCAGGAAAAATTATTCCTGTATACAGGAAAGTGCACCCATATATAAGCCCCCATCCCACCCAAAAATAAGAAATAAAAATCTTCGTCACAATTGATGATTTCTTCTAATGATCAACTGAATAAGCACAATATTCAATGAAACATGAACAGCATACAGAGCGAGAATATGCTAAGTTGTATCGTCAGATAACAAGTTTGTAAAAACCTTGCAACCTTGTCACCAGACATGCCACTGCTAACGAATAAAACCAATAATAACCCAAAGATTACCCCTTCCCCCGCCCCCTTGTCTTTTTTTAAAGAATTAGGCCAAAAAAAAAAAAATGGCAACAGGATAGCAATATACTAAGCTTGCAAATCCAACAACATAGAAAAATAGCAAATCACAAAGAACACCCACCACAAAGAAAAATAATATTAACCAGAATTAAAAGATTGAAATTTGTAAGCATATTGCCGCTATCGCAGATATGATACACCTATCCTTTTTTTATAAACATCGAAACTCGTAAATCTTTCCTTTTTAATATATGGGTGTCAACAACTATACAACTCAAATTCCCAAACAACGTATTATAAAAACGAGAAAAAAATCCAATTACGACAACGAAATGATAGGAAAGACCATAGAGGAGGAAATCCTTCGTAGAAACAAGTATCCGATACATGTGAATACGGAGAACAGGCACGCAAACAACCAAAAGGAAGGGAGGATAAAAAATCAAAACAAAAACACGAGCGACAAGCATACGACATACCGTAGAAGAATTAAGGTGAAATCAGCTCCGAGCAAAATCCACAAAATATCGCGCACCAACAGTGACGCTGAATAGAGAATCGGTTCCGGATTTTATACGCTGGAAGCCGCTAAAGTCGGCAGCCGTATAAACGCGCCGTTTGAAAGAAAGGATCGGAGTCGTTAATGAAAAATAATCTTGACCGTCCAATTTAGGTTTTAGTTCTTTTGTTTTTTAGTGGCCCAAAGGGTTTCGTAGCGCATGTCGTATGATTAGGGAGGGGTGCTCCTGAAACAATAATAATGATTCTGCTGAACTTCGCTCAAATCAGAGTTACATGTCTAAACATATCAAAATTTATAGCTCCCTTGTTTCAGTGGTTGAAGCTGTAATTCAACTTTTCTTTTTAGTTTGCTTTAGAAATACTGGTGACAACGATTTATAGTTGTTTTCTAGTAATGTTTGCTGAGTAAATTATGCAATTAATAACTAAATTACTGTAACTCAAATATTAGTTAAAATTAATTTAAACCTTTAATATAAAAGTTAGGTGACTAATTTGAATAAATTAAGAAAAAATTTTAAATTAGTTATATATAATAAATAAGTGTTATCTTTCTTAAAATATTTTTGTTAATCAAATATATTGGTTAGAACTGTCATTATTATAAAAACTATATTAAGAAAAAATAAATAAATAAAAAACGGGATTAGGATCATAAAAGTAATATCTAAATCAAATGCTCTCTTACTGACATAAATTTTTATTGGAATTTACTTATTCATGGTATGAATATATCATTCCAGTAAAAACACGACATCGATAATTTTTTTATATAGAAAAAGATGGATAATGTATCGCGTCAGGAGAGAGTGACGCGTCTGGAGATCACTACATCTATCGTGTTCTCAAAAGAGTTCAAGCGACCGACGGCTATATAAAGCAATTCCTAGCGCCAATGGATGTAAATTAAAAAGGTAATTAATGAGATAAAAATGATAGAGAACCATGAACAACTCAGAAGGTAAACAAGGAGGAAAAAGAGGAACAGTGACCTAATGTGGCCGAGGTTTGATTAACGTTCTGGAACAGTGAAAATTTAAGGGATTAACGCACAAAATGGTTAGGATTTATATCGCGGAACTCAATATATTTATGCCTCATCAGGTAATTACTTGAAATTTTGTTACTACTTTTTTACATACCTAGATTATCTTATATATATTATCATTAGATTAAATAATATCATAAATATTATTTGCATGGTAATTATTTTTATTTTACGGGGTTACCTTGGGGACAGGTGAATAGAGATAAACGATTATATATTTATTTTAGAAGTTATGCATTGTTATATTTATTTCAAAAATTTAGAGGATTATTTTCTAAACCATCGGATTTACTATCCTGCGGCCCAAATTATTAATTGAAACGGCATGGAGGAAAATGTAATCATTGGAGTTGTGAACCCATTTGACGCTAGAAACCTTTGGTCCTCAAACTCGCATAGATGGGCCATATTCTTTCACGTTTCCAGTCCACCAGCCATGTCACGTTGCCGGTTCAAAAAAAAAAACACATACAAACAGATGGGCATATCATTTTTTGGATTAGCTGACGGCTTGACCGGGAGGTGACAATTAGAAATACCTATTTGTGATTTAAAAAAGATTGGGTCTAAAACTAAAAAAAATTAATCCTCGTAATATGATAATTTTTTATGGCTAAATTGCTCATTTGGTCCTTTAACTATATGTAAAGTTTCAATTTAGTCTTTTAACTTTAAAAAATATACTTTTAGTCCTTTAATATTAAAATTATTAGTCTTAAGTGATCATTTTTTGAAACAATCATAGTTGTTTTGAAAATTAAACTTAATATATTAACATTTAGTAACATTTTATCAACATTTAAGAACTCAATATGTCATTTTTTGTTAACGGTTTTAGGTTAAAAGACTAAAAATTTACTTTTTAAAGTTAAAAAGCAAAACGAAACCTTATATAAAGTTAAAAGACTAAAAGTATATTTTAGTCATTTTTTTATTCAGAGAAGTGCACACATTTAACAGTGTTTTAAATAAGATTATCTTCAATAACACAATATATATACCCTTGCCTAGGCCAAAAGAAGGGGAAATACTTACTCTGAACGAGAGAGACTGTTTTTAGGCTAAAACACATGTTAAGATACAGCGACTGGGGCAAAATATTTACATGCCTGTGACTTGAAAACAAAAACACAGAACATAGTAACGTTTTACTCAAGTCTTACAAATGTTACTATAATGATATCACATGCAATGCATTGGCTCCCAAGGACTTCAAAACACTAATAACCCATAAATAAGCTATAAGGTGTAGGGAAATTAGAGGCAGAATTGAACGAAGGAGCTTGTATTGGCTAAAACACTGCCTAAAACAGAGTATAGAAATTAAATGCTCTATGGGGACATCTGCTGATGCAAATTGTGTTTACTTGTTAGCAATTGAAATTATTTACATATGGTGGCAAAAAAATTTTTATTTACATACTACCTTCGATTCTTAATATAAGAACTAGTTGACTAATTTGAGTAGATTAAGAAAACTAGTTATGTTAGTTATTTGTAATAAATAAATGTTGTCTTTCTTAAAATATTCTCAAGTGTATTGGTTAGAACTATTATTATTACAAAGACTATATTGAGAAAAAATGAATAAATATGATAGACAAAGTGGATCAGGGTTTTATATTTAAGATTAAAATAAAAATCAAACAAGTTCTTATTTTAAGAACCGGAGGTAGTATAATCCTTTTTGCTACCCCAATTACATATAATCTTAATTCTAGAAAAGATTATTATTCAATTTTGAAAGTAAAACATATACTATAACGTAATTTAATTTTTAACTCAGTGCATAATTTAAGACCAGAAAAATTCTCCTTTAATAAGATTAATTATTTTCCGTTGGCGGAAAAAAAAAAGATTAATTATTTTCTTCTGTACCGAGCATGAAAGGATGTAGAAATACACAAGCCAAGACTCGTGAGTTTCTTGTACGTCATCTTAAGAGAATATATGATGCATTTTATTACCTAAAAACTAATTAAACATGAAAATATAATGTTAATCATCAACAAATGTTGGGCATAAAAGAGGAGCATATGAGATTATGAGACAGGAAGCAGAGTTTCTTTCTTTTAAAGTGCAATTTACTCTCAGTTTTTAAAATGTCTCAATGTGATGACCCTTCACGTTAAATGGAAGGACGTTGACCTTTAAGTCCTATAAAAAAGAATGACATCTATCTTCATGAAGCAGTAGATCTAAAGACGCTAGACTAAGAAGTTTCTTGCACGTTATGTTAATAGGATACATGGTACATTCTAACTAAAAAGTAAGTATAAAAATGTGGATCATCAACAAAATTTTATTAATAGTAATGAAATCTTTTAATTCGAAAGAAATAAATTAAAGGCTAAAATATACATTTGGTCTTTTAATTTTGTACAAGATTTCAATTTAGTCCCTTAACTTTAAAAAGCATACATTTGGTCTTTTAACTCTAAAATTATTAGGCTTCAATGATATTTTTTGTAACAATCATGGATGTCTTGAAAATTAAACTTAATATGTTAGTATTTGAAAATATTTTATCAATGTTTAAGATCTTAATCTCATCATTTTTAAAATTTTTTTTACAGTTATAAAAGACTAAAAGTATACTTTTTAAAATTGAGAGACTAAGTTGAAACTTTGTACAAAGTTAAAGGACTAAATATTTTCTTTAGCCTAAATTAAAACTTGCTGTTCAAAAAAGAAATAAATTAAAACTGATAATCATTAAAATGGAATCACATATGGACTATCGTACGTACATCTAGTTGCTTTTAATAGGATTGTGTATTTGTGTTATCTAATTATATTTTCATCGAGCATGAAATTCGGCACTGAATATGATACAGATCACTTTCCTCCCCATTGACGCGTCAAGTGCTCCAAAGATAAACAAGTGAAAAGAGAACAGATAATACGATCACTTTTCTAACCAATAAAACTTCCAGTCTTACTTCTAAACCTCTAATTAATTGCATTCTTATCTCAATGTACCAACTAATCTTAGTGCTAATCCACGAGTTGACTCTTCAATCTCATACTTTTTAATGGATACAAAATCCTTTCACGAGATACTCTCTAAATGGCTCTCATGAACACAAAACTAACTCCCGATATTGCAGCTAAACACCCTAATTTCCCCCCTTCCCTTTTGGGAACCCCATTATTGTTGATCCGTTATTAATTAAGTAAACAAATCACAACGCAAAAATGGAGAGCCTGCAGATCTACTGTGTAAAATAATAAGACGCCATGAAAGTGGTGGTGGAGAGTTTGACTGGAACACTTTTCTACGTGCATGTGAAGAATGACGCCACCGTGGCTGACTTAAAGAAGGAGATTGAGAACCACCAGAAGATCCCTTGTGACCGTCTGATCCTCCTTCTTGATACTGATCGTTGTCCTCTGATGAATCACAACGATGATGACGAGGAAGAAAGGGTGTCACTGAATGACTGTGGGGTCCATGATGGCTCCCACATATACCTCTTCTTCAACCCTGTAGATGATGAATCCAATGGCAATTACCATTTTTGCTTCACCTTGCCGGATGTTCTTCTCAGCTAATTATTATAAAAGAACACGCAACTTTATAGGGAAAATACATATATGCCAAAATTAAGGAAATATATTATCACAGAGAGGTTAAAATTAAAGAGTGATCTGAGCTGTACGTAGGAGTCGATCAGAATAATTTTGATGATTATTGTATTGAGTTAGTACTGGCGATAGCATATATATATATATATAAATATAAATATATATATGGGCTTTTGATTAATTACAGAATGGGTATAGCATGTCTTTTTTGTACCGTTGGAAATGAAAATGGGGTTTGACAATCACAAGACCATGTGATTTTCTTGTTAATTTATATACTAAGAATGCGATTCAAGCACTTTCAGTCATGGAGTTGAGTTATTCATGCATGGCCAGATCGTGATGACTCTTGTTAACTTATTACTGGAGATAGCATATTGGCTTTTAATGAATTAAAGAATGATATAGAAGGTGTCCTTTTTGTATGGAATTGGAATGAAAAGGGGTTTGACGATATCACAAAACCATGTGATTTTCTTGTGACTTTCTTAAAATAATAACAATAATTGGTGCTATTCAAGCACATTCGTGGCCACTGGGAATACAAATAGAAAAGTCCAACAGATCTTAAGAACAATATTAATTAAACCCAGCGAAAACCGTATTTTCGTGTCACCCACATTCTATTAATTTTGTAATTCTGAAAGAGCATCATATATGAATATAAAATTAATAACTCATGATTACAATATTATATAAGCTGCCTACAAATATATAAAACCACTGCCCCATTAATCATGGCACGATAAGTATAGCCAGGAATGAAACTCAAACAGTCTTATTATTTTGCAAATACAAGAGTATTTGGAGGAATTCACGCACAAACACACACACTGTACATCGTGTGATTGAAGACCCACCTATGGACATGTCGATGTGGGTTCCCATTTATACGAACTAATTCAAATTCATAAAATTTTATTCTTCCAGAAGTTGGTGATCGTATAACTAAAATTAAAATTAGACTTTTGGAATTTTGTATTCTTAAAACCGATTAGAAAGCATGCCATGCACTCACTACAAAAAAATTGACTTTCAGCGGCGACAAAAGTCGCCGCTGAAAGTTTTTTGCGGTGACAAGTCGCCGCTGAAAAGTCGTTGCCGTAGCAGCCGTGGCTGAAAACTTTCAGTGGCGACTAAAAAGGTCGCCGTTAAAAGATACTTTCAGCGGCGACTTTTAGAAGTTTCGGCGGCGACAAATGTCGCCGCCTAAAACACTTTCGGCGGCGACACTCTTGTCGCCGCTGAAAGACTTTTCAGCGGCGACAAATGTCGCCGCCGAAAGTGTTTTCTGCGGCGACTTTTTTGTCGCCGCTGAAAGTAATGCCTAAGAAGAATTGGCTTTACCAATGCCACGTCATCACCGCCGGTGCCACGTCATCGTCTCCGGCCGCCACGTCAGCACCGTCAACCTCCACGTCATCGCCATCGGCGGCCACGTCATCATTGCCGACCGCCACATCATCACTAGCCACCTCCACGTCATTGCCACGTCACTCCTTCTCGCCACGTCATCGTCTAAATATTTTCACCTTAAATGTGTCTTCTTCCAGGTTCGAACTCGTGACCGCCTCCCTTCGTGTCCAACCTTCTTGCCGCTGAGCCAGATTGAATTTGTTTATTAATATTGTAAAATAAAATATATATTATTATATTATACTTTCAGCGGCGACAAAAAAGTCGCCGCTGAAGGTCCATTTTCGGCAATTTGTTTATTAATATTGTAAAATAAAATATATATTATTATTTATACTTTCAGCGGCGACAAAAAAAGTCGCCGCTGAAAGTCCACTTTTGGCGGCGACAAAAAAGTCGCCGCTGAAGGTCCGCCGAAAGTAGACTTTCAGCGGCGACTTTTTTTGTCGCCGCCGAAAGTCGTCGCCTAAAGTCTATTTTTTTGTAGTGACTGATTCACCGAAGACCAAAAATTTGTTATATATTCCTTTTCGACTTCAACTCGCAGCTGGGTCTTCCGTGTGCTGTATATAGTATATACTTCAAGTCTTCAGCAACTGTACGTACCTTCATATATATATATATATATATATATTTATAAAAGTCTCCTTTTAATGTTGCAAAAAATAAATGATTGGAGCTCTCTTCAAAGTTCTCACAGCAACTGGTCCTCAATTAATTAGTTTGAGCGGTATCAGTTAGTAAGCCGGCCTCGTGAGGTTTTATAAGCAAGCGGACAAAAATGGTTATGGCTAGGGACCATCGTTATGATTTTGTGAGATTTTTTTTGTAAAATACTGTACAGTATAAGAAAAATAAAGAGTCACGAAGAAAAACTGATAATATATACTAATGATTGTATTAACAAGTTAAGTTTTTACCAGAAAATAATAACAAGTTAGTAATTATCAAAAAATACAATATTATAAACATGACTAAACGTTTTTGTAGCTGGTTAATTGTAAAAACCAAACATCACAAAGTGAAGCCTTCAAGTACGGAAAGATTTAAAAAAAAATAGAAAAAGACAGAAAGAATAAACGATGCACAGATGATGAATTAATGATTAAATGCAAGGAGTGTTTGACTCGTAATGTGATTGGGGGGAAAAAAAAAAGAGTATCAAAATGGAAACAGCTAAAGCTGATTTTTCAGAGCATGATGGAGCAACAACTATCCCCCATAACAACATGGTTGTTAATTGAACTAGATCAGAGTCTAGGCAACGCGAATACAAAGATTGAATTTTCTTAATTTCTTGGTGTGTTGCCTGATTCACTTAATTAATATTAATGATGCTGGATGCTCCAAATGAAAAGACATGTCTGGGGCCCAACATCGGCTTTACACCTAACCAAACAGGTTAATTTTCATTTTTTGTTGCATTAAGAACGTCTTCATCAGGCAACATCCAAAAGCACGAGGATCATTTCCAGCCATACATGGCGTGGAAGCATATATAGGATTCCTTTTCAGCTTTGTCCATTGATCAACGTGCCCGTCGGCTTCGGTATTAATTAGATTAATGATCCAAATTAAATGGATTCACCCCATATTAGTTCAATAATCCTTCAATGTTTGATTTTTTTAATTAAAAGAGTGCGCAATAACAATTTAAAATTACAAGCCGCATCAAACCCGTAACCCCCGATTTTTTGTCGAGTTTTAGTTGCTAGACCTTTTTCAAAATTCATGTGACGTCTTGTTATTATTTATAATAAATCCTTTTGAAATAATCAAACTTAATCTCTAAAATCTCCGTGTCAAGATCCAGTCTGAGGGGTTGAGAGACGAGGAGAACGACTACCCAGCCTTAATATAACGTGCTGGCAACTAGATATGTGGTAGTTAAAAGGGGGGGGGGAATGAAAAAAAAAAAACTTTCTCCTACGTTAGTAATGACAAATATTAAGTTGTAAGGATTTCGCTTTTGATCCAACTTAATAAATATGCAAAAAAGGGGACTGATTAGAAGAATCTTATATATCCTTATTAATGGCCTAGAGACCACCATGACATTGAAGTGTTTTTTTTTTTTTTTTAAGAGTATAAAAACGGAATCATAACGGTAAAATTGAGGTTGTCAATCTCAAGGGTGGATCAAGAGAGACACGCAAGTGATGGTTATATGAACTTTGGCTTCAATAGAACTGATTTGCAGAGAATCCAGTCCGGACTGAGTAATTTCTTATTTAAAGATACCGTATCAACGGGCGAATAGTTAACACACGCACCTATATATTTTTGTTATCTGAATCTTTAATTACAATTAAAATTGTCGACAAAAATCTGACGGCCGTTTCATTCTTGAAAACAACGTCAGATTAAAGAGCCAGGTTTTCATTAATTATTACCACTGCAAATGGAAGAATCTTTTACATCGTTTTGTGAGTTAATTTAATTAATTACTGTTCGAGAACTACCTCAGTCACAAAATTATTAGCCGTTAGTATGTCTTGTATGTAATATAATATAAAAACTAATTAACTAATTTAAATAAATTAAAAAAATTAATTAAGTTAATAATTAATAAATAAAAAAATATTATATTTAGGATCAAATTATATATTTTCTCAAACAGTTAAACTATGCATCAGGAAAATTGTTAAATACCACCTCCGTCCTTTAATATTAGGCAAATCATGTGTAAGTTAGAACTAATATTTGATAAAATATTTAACATATACAGCTACTAAAAGAATTATTTTAAAAAAGATAAATATGATAAATAAAATGAATTAGAATATTATATTTAGGACCAAATTATATGTTTTCTCAAACAGTTAAACTATGCATCAAGCAAATTGTTAAATAGTACTTTTAACCCTTAATATAAGAGTTAATTGATTAGTTTAAGTAAATTAAAAAAACTAATTAAGTTAGTTATTTGTAATAAATATATGTTGTCTTTTGTAAAATATCCTTACTAATAAAATATATTGGTTAGAACTATCATTATTACAATGAATATTTTAAAAAAAGTAGATAAATATAATCTTACATGGTTAATACTATTAAGATCTTATATGTAGGATTAAAATAAAAATCAAATGAGCTCTTACGTTAAAAATCTGGTATTAATTATCAATATTCGTTGCTAGTATATTACTACTATCAAATTAAAGCTAGTGGTTGGAATTTACATGGATCGATCTCGTGGTGAGTTGCAGTATTATGTTTTTCTGACGGGCTGGGGGGGGGATGAGCCGTAACATTATGAGTTATATAAATAGTATGGATTTACGAAAATTTACAGAAATACACATGAAGCTACATGTATATCTTAACAGTTTTAATCCGTAATGACGCACCCAGGGATCTGTATGTGTATCTTGTGTTCTCTCGTCACCTCACTGCGCCACCGACACTCTCATTCGGTCATGTGCATCATCAGACTTCTGAATTTTTAAATAATAAAGATACATTGAATAATACTGACTTAATAACTATCAATCTCAATTCTTAATATTAAAATAAATTAGAACCCGCCAGGAAAAGATTTTATTATTCTC